GTATAGAGGGTTGTACCTGAGGCGGGACCTCGTGCGCAAACTCTGACGTGCGGCTGTGATTTATAAAGGAAAGATGCGCAGAAACGTGCGTACGTATGGTTTTATAAATCTGAATTTTTTTTGGCGTACGCCATTTCCGCCTTTTGGCCGTACGTTCACTTTTAGTATGGTTTCCACGCAATCCTTTATAAATGAGACCCCAGAGCAGTAGAATTCACCAGAACCACTCAAGGCTTTTTTGGTGGGAAAAACAGTAATATTTATACCTTGGGCAACTTTCTGTGGACTGTCTTATTAATGGACAGATGGGGACAGTTTAGGGAACAAAGCGTTTGACGTTTCTGTCCACCTGAAGCAAAGACCAGGTTTTAACAAGGGGGTCATCTGTGACCCCCGTGAGGTGTCCAGCTATGAGCTTTGATGCTTTTGGTTATCAGCTTCCGTCTCAGACAAGAAATAGTCCTCAGACAGATGGACGGACAGCACCACAACAGAACGCGTCCTCCCCTCCAGGCATATAATAAAAACACAAAATGTTCTGGTTAAACAAGCTAAGCCCCTCAGGGAGCTTTAAACCAGCACACGTTTTACTTCCCGAACTCTTTGACTTCCTGTTTGCTTCTCTTCCTCTCCTGCAGCTGCACCGAGCCTCGTCCTCCATCAGCATCATCAGAGTCTGATCCAAGTCTCCGAGCTCAGGATGAGTTTCAGGTGGAGTCGGGGGGATTGGGGGTGGTGGTGGGGGATGTTTATGGACCTGCAGCTGTTCCCGAGACTCTAATCTGTTGTAAAATATGAGTGAAGTCGGAGGAGCTCAGCGTGAATCAGATTCAGGAGACGGTGGCTGGATGCTGCCCTCTGCTGGAGGAAACTGGAACTGATTACCTCTATGATGTCAAAGACTGATTTCAATATTTTCCAGCATGTTTTGACTCCTGATCGCCTCAAATACATTCTCTTTCATCCAGATGACATTTCTTTACATTTCTTCAACTGAAATCCTACATTTTAAGCCATTTTTTAAGGTCAATTCTCATTACTTTCTGCTGTTGGTCAATCATTGTGACTAGAAATCGTAGATAAATCCAAAGTATTTGTGGTGAGGTTTATGTGTATTTTAGGTAAAAGTCTTTAAACATACGACGAGGTGGATTTTCACTGTAAATATTTTCATAAATTGTTTAATTAAATCAAGTTTTATCATTGGGTTGTTTTGTTGTTTTTCAGAAACTTGGAACATTTTTAAGATTTCAGTAACTGTTCAAATTTGCATCTTAAATTAGTTTAGAACAATGGAAATTTATTTTTATTGGAGTCGAGGAGAAAATTAAAGGAAAAATATGTGCATTTCTATGAAATGTGTAAATAAAATTTTACTTTTTCAGTGCAAAAACAAAAGCTAGATTATTGATTTTTTTTTTACACAACCATCAGGATTTTCTTCAGAAATCAGAATGAAAAGAAAAAAAATTCCCCTTAATCAGGTACAAAACAAACCTTCAGCTGAACAGGTACAGTAACTCTGTCACCAGTAAAGTTGGGTGAGAATGTAACTGCATGTGTTTCTGTCTGTTAGCAAAATATCTCACAGATTTTAATGAAAATTTCAAGACGTGTTTTTTGAATACAACTCGTTAATTTTGGGGTCAAAGTAGCTGTCAGTGAAGGCTCAGAAATGTGTATAAGTCAATCAGTTTTACTGATACTGGGCTAAAACTCAGAGTGGTAGTTGCTCAGAGTTGTTCTGAACACATACTCTGAGCGCTGACAGACCACCCAAACCCACACAGTACAACATCATTATTTATCAACACAATGATACAATTTCAGTTTAAATTTTAAAAAGTGGTAATTCTCCAAAGAATGTTAGACTTCTAGTTTACAAAAAACAAAAACAGGTTGGATGTTTAAAAAGGTTTCCAGTGCAGACAAAAACCAGATATGTAAAGGTTAAAAAAACAAAACAAAAAAATTCACAAAAAAGACTATTTTCAGAGTAGACTGGGTTTTTAAAACAAAAAAATCAGACTTTTATTCAGTCTGAACTGCGTAGTTTTATTTTGCTCACATGAGAAGTTGAGCTGTTGAGAAAGCGGATAAAACATACAGCAGGTAAAATAAGTATTGAACATGTCAATATTTTTCTCAGTAAATATATTATTAGAGGTGCTAATGACATGAAATTTTCACCAGATGTCGGTAACAACACAAGTGATCCATACATACAAAGAAATCAAACAATAAATGTCCAGAAATGAAGTTATTTGTAATAATGTGGAATGGCACAGGGAAAAAGTATTGAACACATGAAGAAAGGGAGCTGTAAAAAGGCATGGAAAGCCAAGACACCAGCTGAACTCTCTCTGCCCCTTGTCAATGCAAGTTAATATCAGCTGGTTCAGTCCCAAATGATGGCCAGGTATCACACAAGAACCATCTGAT